GCGTGGGTGGAGGGTGGGAGAGGGAGCCAGCGGGTGAGCCAGAGAGCGGGTGGGGAGGGAATGGTATGGCAGCAGGCTGATTTGGTCCGAGGTGCAGCGCGCAGGCATGCTGGCACAGGCCGCGGCCCCACCCCCAGCCCCAGGCCACCCCCCTGCGCCGCTCACATGGCCTCGTGGTCCCAGCCGTGCGGCCGCTCCTGCTTGCCGCGGTGGCCCTTCCCCACGCGCCGCACGTCCTGCCCCGGCAGGCGCGGCTTCTGGCCGGCGCCCTCGTGCGCCTGCGCGGCCGCCTGCTCGCTGCCGGCGCCGGGGGTGGCGCCCTCGCCAGCGCCGCCGCCGTCGTCCTCCGCACCCTCAAACACGGCGTCGCTGCCATCATCCACGTCCCGGAAGGCGGCGCCGCCCCCAAACGTGTCGTCCTCCTCGCCCTCCCCAAACAGCTCGTTGAAGGAGTCGGCGGCCTCATCCGACAGCGCCTCGCCCTCCTCCACGCCCACAGCGCCGCCCTGGCCCTGCCCCTGGCCCTGCTGGTCCTGTGGGGCAGCCTGCTGCTGCTGGCCCTGCTGCTGCTGCTGCTGGTTCACAGGGGCAGCCTGCTGCTGGCCCTGCTGGTGCTGCTGCTGGTCCACAGGGGCTGCCTGCTGCTGCTGTTGCTGCTGGTCCTGAGGCGCAGCCTGCTGCTGCTGCTGCGGTTGCTGATCCTGTGGGGCAGCCTGCTGCTGCTGGTTGTCCTGCTGCTGCTGGTTGTCCTGCTGCTGCTGGTGGTCCTGCTGCTGCTGGTCCTGCGGCTGCTGCTGGCCAGACGTATCCTCCATCAGCCGCCGGCGCTGCTGCTTGGTGCCGGCCTGCTGGGCCTGCTGCTGCTGCTGCTGCTGCTGCTGTCCCTCCTGCTGAGCTGCCTGCTTCACGTCGCCGGGTCCTCCCTGAGCAATGCCGTCCCCCTTGCCAATGTCAGGCTGGCTGCACCGCAGCAGGCGGGCAAGCAGCAGGGCCGGGCGTCAGCAGGGGCGCACGCCAGCCAGCGTTGGCGCAGAGGTGACAGGGCGGATGCAAGAAGGAGCAGGACGCCGGCAGGCGCCCACACACCTCACGCCTACCCCGCCTACCCCACCCCTCCATACAAGCACACACACAACAAAGAGATGGAACACCGCCACGCACCTGTGATCCCCCACCCCTCCATACAAGCATACACAACACACACAGAGACTGCCACGCACCTGTGGTCATTGGGGTCTGGGTTCAGGCCCTTGTGCCAGTCGCGGCGCACCCGCAGGCGCGGGATGGTCAGCCGCGTCGCCGCCTCCTCGCCCTGCACACCCACGCCAGCCAGGCTGGTGAGCAGCCGGGGCGGCGGGGGCCAATCCAGGCAGCCGCCTGCTGCCGCCGTGCTCGGCCCCATGCCCTACCGACATCCACCCACTCATCACGCACACACGTGCGCGCGCACACACACACGTGCACGCACCAGCACACCACCACCCACCCACCCAGCCTCCCCCCCACACACGCCCACAGGTGCAGCAGCACACCGCCGCCGCCGCCACCAGGCACCACCCCTGGCGCACCGTGTCCTTGAAGAACAGGATCTCGCCGTCGTATGTGGCCACCACGATGTCGGGCACGCCGTCCAGGTCGATGTCGTGCATGAGCGGGGAGGTGTGGGTGGTGGAGTGGTGGAAGGCCTCAAAGTCGGGAGCCTTGGCGCCGTCCCGCCCCTCAAACACCTGCGGGCGCCGAGCAGCAGTGAGGGCGGGGCAGAGGGCGGCTGGGGAGGGAGACATGATCTGGCAGCGACAGCAGCAGCGAGCGAGCAGATGCAGCGGCCCGGGCGAACAACCCCGGCCGCCGAGCCCGTCAGACCCGCACCCCGCCGCTGCTCGGCCGCCACGGCTGGCAGTCTCGGTCCAAACCGGCGCTGCAAGCCGCTCCCCTGCCGCGCGGCGCACCTCCAGCTGGTGCAGGAAGGCGGGGACCACCACGTCCCTGCGCCCGTCGCTGAACAGGTCTGTGATGAGCGGCGTGGCGTAGATGGCTGACGACGCCTCGGCGTGCCACTTGAGCGCGATGTTCTGGGGGCACACGTCATCCAGCTCCTCGTCCTCCGCCTCGCTGCGCGTCAGCAGCAGGGGTGGGCGGGAACGAGCTAGGCCAGCAAGGGGGCGAGGGGCGGGCGGGCGGCAGCGGCGGAGCAAGCCCACAGGGCCAGCCGCGCCCTCCCCCCAGCTGCATCCCCAGCCGCCATCGGCGCACTCACTGCGTGCCGGTGCCAATCCGCACGTCGGCGGAGGCCTCCCGCTTGAGGAACTTGTTGCCGGTGGTGTTCATGTTGGAGTCGTGCGCCACCGGATTGCTGATCTGGGCAGCCACTGGCGCTGCCAGCAGCGCCAGCAGCGCCAGGAGGCAGCCCCACTGAGGCATGATCGCTGCTTTCACAGGATTCTTTGGGGCCCCACTGGCATTGCACACACACACTGCGACCACGTGTGGGTCAACACCGCAGGCGCGGTGTCCCGATGCTTCACAAGGGGACGCCGCGAAGTACGGCTGTAGTGTTGCTTCCATCTTGCCGGCTGGGTCTCGGGCGTGGCCGCCTGGCTGCAATGCCGTCTTCGGCTGCATCAGAACAACAGTCGGAACAGAACAACAGTCGGTAGGCTTGCCTCCTGTTGCCTCTGGGAGTGCACCTCCCCCGTTTGACTCTTCGCAGCCCACTTCTACTGGTCTCCCTTAAGCCTCCCACGGCCCGTGTGCACAGCAATCATGGTCACAGGTGGGGCCGGTTTAATGTGTGGCTGTCGCGGCCCGCCCTGATGCGCCGGCGGCGATTGCCACAGGCCCGCCCTCGCACTCTGCTCGCAGCGCTGCCCCACTTCCGTGGCAAGAGCAAGACGTTCATTAAGAGGGCGGATGTGATCCTGGAGGTGGAGGGTGTAGGCTTCCTAGCGCACACCGATGTGCTGCTGATGCAGTGCGGCACGGTGTTTGAGGGGCTCTGCCGGGAGTTCCTGCAGGTCTGGCATGGCAGCGGCCCTGTCGATGTTAGCTGCCCACACAAGGGCCTGCCACCCCCAACCTCATCCCACGCACGCCTCCGTCCGCAGCCTCTCTTTTCCCACTGGAGCCACTGAGGGTGCCATGCAGGAGGGCGCTGATGGCGAGGCGGGACCCAGCAACGGCGGCCGCAAGCGCCAGCGGGGCACGGGCACCAGCGCCAGGGCCCAGCTGCCGACGCTTGTGCTCAGCAGCAAGCAGCCAGGCACCAGGGCTACGGCGCGTAGCAAGGCACCGGGCCCCAGCATCATAACTCCCAAAAGCTTCCAGCTCTTCCTGAACCACCTGTATGACTGGGACGCAGAGATTGCCTCGGTGCGCCCTGCGTGCTGGCTGGCTGCGTACCTGACACAACAGTGCCTAGTTTGGTGCCTGCCCGCCTCCCGAAGCTCGTCTCTGCTGGCGCACACCGGCTCCCCTAACCACACCCCGGCAGGAGGAGGACGCCATTGACCTGCTTGCGGTGGCGGACTTCTTCGGCGCAGACGCGCTGAAGATCGCCTGCGACCAGGTGGGGGGGTGAGAGGCGCCGCAGCTGTGCCTGCAACGCTGGACTGGCCAACCGGCGGGTGTGGGGCAAGGCGTCTGAGGCAGGTGTGCCATCCGCCTGCTGCTGCCGTGCAGACCCTCAGCAAGATGGCTGTGTACAGGCAGCCTGGCCCTTTCTACAGCCGAGGCGCGCCTCCCAAGGTGGAGCATGTCGAGCTGGCGTCTCGGTACCGCCTGCCCCAGCTGATGGCCAAGGTGGCGACGTCGCTGGTGCTCTGGATCCATCAGAACAGGCACATGGGCGGTGGCACCCAGGCAAGCTTAGTCAGAGTGCATGTCAGGCATTGCAGCAAGTTCAGGGGCCTGGATTGTATTTCCAGCATCGTTGCTCCCCTCCGCAGGCGGCCTGGATGCACCACCAGGACAAGATTCAGGCAATGGACAGCACCGTGCGCGACGTGATGCTGGGCAGGTGGGGGTAGCTGCGCCCCACATGTTCACTGCCTCACACTGCCACCACACGCATGCGTTGCTGTACTGGCGGCATTGGCCAGCCTTCTGGTATTTTCATGTGCCTGGGAGACGTGCGGGCATGGGGGCCCATGTGCCCCATGCCATTTGAGTGCCCGGCGGCGGCGCTGCCTACCGCCGGGAGCCCGCACCAGCATCGGCACCCGTCGGCCTGGCAGGCCTAAGCTGCTAAGGATCCCCACGTCCCCCACCACGTTGTGGGGGTTGCGTGTCCGGCAGGACGGGGAGCGGGGCCAGGGTGGGGTGACCCTGGGACGCTCAGCTGGGGGGAGGGTGGTCGGAGCCATGGAGAGGGTGCTCCATGGTCCACCCCCTCTCTTGATGCCCCTTGATCACGTGTGCCCCCTGCCCAAGGTCTGCTCACGCGGCCTATCATAGCGGGGTGACTGTAACACCTGGTACTTGCGGCGCTGCTGCCGCTGCCACCATCCTTGTTGCAGGCTGTGCGAGTTCTGCTCGCTTCTGCCCGAGAGCGACTTTGCGACGGCTGTGGCGGAGGACCTCATCTCCAAGAAGTGGCACCAGGGCTGAGGCTCCCAGGACAGTGCCGCTGCGGCCGCGGCGGCTACGGGAGGTTGTGCTGGAGACGCGGGCTGGCGGCATGGTCTGCCCGCTGCATCACGCTTCGAAGCTGGATGCTTGTCAGGCCTCTCTGACCACTGGAGAAAGCCAAGCAGTGACTTTGGGCCTTCCCCTTCCAGCAGCAATGTGATCGCTCATGTAATCTTCATTGGAAAGTTGGGGAAAAGCATGCTTCAATGCAGCCACACCTGCTGTTGTTCCCACAAACCCAACCCAAGCCGTCTGCATTTGCTGGCTATCAGCCCAAGGAACTCCTCCAAGGCATCGAGAGGGCAACAAGGCCCGAGTTCAGCACAATAGGTGTGCCTGCCTCCCACCGGTGCTCGAACCTCAGCCAGGCTGTGCCAGGGAGGGTGCAGCGAGTCCTGCAAGTTGTTCCATGCCCCACTGCCCACGCCCAGGGCCGTCCCCGTCTGTGCTGCCGTCCCGCTGCCATCGCCCGTCCTGTGGCTGCCGCCACCAATGTCCTCTGGCCGCAGAGTATTCAAAATGAGGTGGTTGCGGAGGTGAACTGCCTCCGCGTATGTCCCACTGGCGCTGCTGGCGTTTGTGGCGGTGAACTGCTTCGCCCAAGGTGAGGAAGCCACCGCTGTGGCTGCTGCCATCCGCAGGAGCGGTTTCGCACCCAGATGGCAACAGGGAGGCAGCACCCCCTCTCACCCGCTGCAGGCATCGTGCGCTGCGACTCCACTGACTGCCCCGCATGCACCGAGGGCCTGTCCTGCACTGGATACCCGCTTGACATAACAGAGGAGCCCGATGCCGTGGGCATCTGCAGCTTTAACGGCCAGTCGGGCTGCCTGGCGAGGCGGGGCTGGCAGCCTGCCGAGGGCCCTTCTGCTCGCTAGGTGCATCCAGCAGCCCGCTGTGCCGGGGGTGCAGCGCAGCAGCGGTGGGCCTGCCCCTGCTTCACGGCAGGCAAGCATGCGACTCCCGTGGCCAACTCTGCAGCCGCACTGTTTTCACACACAACGCTGCTGCTGCTGCGCTGCTGCTGCAGTCGTGCGATGTGGACCCCTGCAATGGGCAGGGGTGGCAATGCACCAAGGTCAATGTGTACACGGTGTGCACATGCCCCGGCGGCGGCTGCACCCCGGGCACCGCCCGCACTGCGCCCGAGGAGCCCACCCCCGGGGGGCAGCCTTCCAGGCCTGCCGCGCCAGCCAGCGGCGCCACCGAAGAGCTGCTGCAGTTTGTGTCTGAGCAGGCACAGGCCGTCAATGCCGAGCTGGAGGCTGCCCTGGAGGTGAGCAAGCGGGACCAGGAGCGCCTGCATGCAGCATGGGTCCCAGTGCGCATTAGAAAGGCAGGACTTGCCGCCAGGAAGGCCGCAATGGCACGTGCACAGGCCTTGTCCCTCGGGTATCCAATGCGCCCGCCTGCCTGCCTTGCCTGCCTTGCCTGCCTGCAGTCAGACGCCAGCCTGGCCTCCTATTTTGACCAGTGGCAGGACACCTTTGGCAGGTCTTACGCCAGGGGCAGCAGCGAGTACACCAGGCGCGTGGCCACCTTCAAGCAAGCGCTGCAGGTACGGCGGCTGCGCTCCCGCGCACGGCAAGCTGCCTGACACAGCCTGGCTGGCCTCCGGCGCCGCCGCCCATCCCTCAGCTTCGGGACCCATCGTACCAGCAGCGCTGCCCCTGCTCACTTGCCCGCCTGCCCCAGCGTGCCCCTGCCTGCAGCGCATGGTGGATTTCAACAACCAGGAAGGCCTGACGTTCTGGCTGGCTCCCAACCAGTGGTCTGCCCTCACCTATGACGAATTTGCCTCCAGTGCGCTGGGGGAGGAGGGCGCCGGCGGCAGCCCGGGGCCCGCGTGCGGCGGGCCCTCGGGGCGCAGGCGGCTGGCGCAGGGCGGTGCGCCAGCCACGGTGGACTGGAAGGCTGAGAACAAGGTGTCGCCAGTGAAGAAACAGGGGACCAAGGTGTGTCGGCAGGGCCTCCCACGCATGCTGGCTGGGGCCTCTAGCATGCTGTGTTGTGTGGTCAGCGAGCATCTGGCGGCGGCTGATGCGTACTCATACCTGCCGACTCCCGCCTGCCCTCCGGCTGCCCCGGCGTGCAGTGCGGCAGCTGCTGGGCGCATGCCGCCGCCGCCGCGGTGGAGAGCCAGCTGCTGATCCAGACGGGGCAGGCCCTGGACCTGTCTGAGCAGGAGTGCGTGGACTGCGTGACCGAGAGTGACGGCTGCGGCGGCGGTCAAGCCTACCTCTGCCTCCAGTACATCGCGTCCCAAGGCATTGCCAGCGAGGGTTCCTATCCCTACAAGTCGCAGAACGGGGCGTGCAACGCCGGCCCTCCACCCGTGGTGAAGATCGCGCAGGCCCCCGGCTACACTCGCCTGCTATCCAACAGCAGGCAGGAGCTCCTGAAGGTGAGGTGTGTGGCTGTTTGCGTGTGGTACAAAGCTTGGGACTGTGCGGCCTCCAATGGCAGCTGCTAAGTGATTGCAGCCCTCCCTGATTGGCATTAACATGACCGCTCTGCCCACCCTACCGGGGACATGCCCCCTGCGCTCCGCCACGCCTGCAGGCGCTGGCGGAGCAGCCCGTGATCGTCAGCCTGTGGGCAGACCCCACCTTCCAAGACTTTGGTGGCGGCATCTTCCACGGGTCGGGCGACTGCGTCAACGGCCGCACCAACCACGCCATGCTGGTGGGGTGGGCTGGGCTGGGGAGCAGGCAGCTCATTGTTGCAGCTGGCTGCTGTGCTGTGCTGTGCTGTGCTGAGGTCTCTCCATCTTGACATCTGCCCTCTGCCCTCTGCCCTGCTGCTCCCGTGCAACAGGCAGTGGGCTACGACACCGGTTCTTCTGCCGGCTTGCCGCACTTCATCATCAAGGTGGGGCCTGGGCCTCCGGCGCAGTTGGCTGGGGCAGCTGTGATATCATCGATGCTGGCACTGACAGGCCCCCTAGCTAGCTACAGCTGCCACGCCTATGTGTGCTGCCTGCCTGCAGAAATCTTGGGGCGAGAACTGGCCCTCGCAAGTGGATGGCGCCAACCTGTGAGCACACAGCAGCAGACCCGCAGCGCCGGCGTTCCAGCAGCACTTTGCTTCTTTACCTGCCACTCGCCTGCAGACGCCAAGTGTCCTTCACAAACCCGCTAAATGCCTGCCTTCCCTGCAACTACCCAGGCTTCTTCCGCATTGCAAGGGGGACGATGGCACCCCCGGGACCTGCAACATGTGCGCTCTGCCCTGCTATGCTGCGCTGCGCTGTGCCAGGCTCGGCAGCATGGGCCGGCTGCATCGCGGTCCCATCGCACATCGCCGTCACTGTCCCAAGGCACAGCAGATTACCTATACCTGCTTGCCATCCCCCCGCAGGTACATTAAGATGGTGGTGCCTGGCCCTGTGAGCGCCCCATCAGGCCCTGCTCCCAAGCCACCCTCTGCAGGCGGGACGCAGACCTTGCCGCATGAGGCAGCGCTGGTGACACTGCAGCTTTGTGGACAACTCCTCTCCCATACCACCCCCCATCCTGCCTGCAGCAGCAGCCTGCCCCTTCCCCGATGGAACGGTCATCCGCTGCAGCACCGACGGCGCAGTTTATCGCATCCAGGATGGCAAGAAGCGCTGGTGCGTATGCCTCCGGCCGCCTACACCTCCTGCGCATGGTGTGCATGCTAAGTCGTCAAGCAAGGGTCACCTCTTCCTCCGGTGCTTCCGCTGCCTGTGTGCACGGTGCTCGCCGACCCGTTCCCTTCCTGCCTGCGCTCCGCAGGTACCCCAGCCCTGCCGCGGTTTCCGCCGACTCTGCCAAGGTGGACATCAACAATGCTCAAGTGTGCAGCCAGCGGGAGGCGTGCCCCGACGGAAACCCCATGCCCGCTCCGTCAGGCACGTCGTAGGGCGGCACGAGCGTAGGGGCAGCTGCCAGTGTGGTGTGGGAGCCGAGCGTCCCGCGGCAGCGCTGATTCCTCACTTGCTGCCTTTTCCGTCGCAGATGGACCCATGCCGCAGCCCCAGCCTCAGCCTCAGCCCAAGCCCGCCCCTGCCCCAAGCACGGGCGGCGACTGCGGCACCATGCTGGAGATGGCAGAGGCGGCAGCCGAGGTCTGCTCTGATCCGGTGAGCGGCAGGGAGCCCACCGGGCAGGCAGAGTGGCAGCCTCACGACACGCGCTGTGCGCCACTGTGACAGTCCTGGCAGCGAGGCGCTGATGTGCCCTGCCCCTGCCCTCCTGCAGCTGGGGGAACTCGACCTGCAGAACGACTGCACGCTGGACTGGACCGGCGGCAGCTGCCCCAACTCATGTGCACAGTGGGGGAAGCAGGCGAGCCAGGCAGCTGTCAGTGGCTGCTCCTGACCAGCTGCTAGCAGCTCCATGCCTTCAGCTGCCTGGTGCAGCACGCCAAGTGCGATGCCGGGCCCCCCGAGGCTGTGCAGGTCGGTGCGACCTGCGCCAAGGCCACCTCGCTGGCGCTGGCGTGCACCCAGGAGGAGGCTGGCCTGGTGTCGGATGAGGTGCCCTCCCAGCGCGGCGTCATTTCGGCTTGCGGCTGGTAGATAGAGCGGCACCGCCGCCAAGCGTCCTCTCAGGAACGCCGCCTTTTCCACATTCACTGCCGGCGCTGCTATGTGTCATTGCTGTTGGCAGCTGCTCTGGCAACGTAGGTACAATAAGGCCTGGAGATGCACAGCTCATCTGATTTGCATTTGAGATGTAAATGATCACATGTGGCCTTCTGGCACGTTTTCACACAGTGGAAAGGCTGCAGCTGGGCGGCGGCAGCAACGGCCGGACCGGCAAGCTGGCGCCACGTCGTCGCAAAGATGCAGGAAACGAAGCCCCTTTCGAACGTTTCAAGCATCCCTCCAATTTGCAAACCGAGATCCAAGGCGTGCAGGGCAGCCGCAGAGCCCAAGCCAGCGGCCAGCAGACCTGCAGCCCCCTGCGCAGGGGGCAATGGCGGCGGAGACGAGGGCGCCGCTGAATGTGGCCATCCTCGGCGCCGGCAGCTTTGTCCGCGACGCCTACCTCGGACCGCTGCAGGTCGGCGGCGCCGAGGCCTGCGAGTGCGCCGGCGGCTGCGCGTGCTGCCTGAGATTCCTGGCCTGGCCGAGGTTGCTCCCCGGGGACTTGCCGCTGCCTACAGGCCAACTCGGACAAGCTGCTGGTGACCGCGCTGTGGAGCCGCTCAGCCGAGTCGGTGTGGGCCCTGCTGCCCGCCATACAACAGTAAGCAGTCGCTGGGAGCGCCTGGCACAGCAGGGCACCGCGCCTGCGACTCACGCACATGCCGTGCCGCAGGTTCTCCGCCAGCTGCCAGCCGTACCATGGCGAAGGCGGGCTGCAGGCGCTGCTGGGGTCTGCCGGCTTGGATGCTGTGCTGGTGGTGCTGCCGCCGCAGGCGCAGGGGCCGGTGATCCAGGCGGCGCTGAGGGCAGGTGGGTGGGTGGAGGGAGGCCCTGGTGCGGTGCCGCTATGGCAGCGCAGCTATAGCTGCTGCCACAGCCTGCCCTGCCCAGCTCTTCCATACCATGCCGTGCAGGCAAGCATGTGTTGTCTGAGAAGCCCGCGGCCCCCACCCTGGCGCAAGCAGAGCAGCTGCTGACTTTCTACCAGAGCCTGCCTCAGGCAAGCTTCTGCCTCTGGGCACACAAGCGACGCCTGGCTGCGCCCCTTCCTCTGCAAGATACCTTTGCATGACCCTCCCCATTCTGTGTGCAGCCCGCTCCGCTGTGGTGTGTGGCTGAGAACTACAGGTGACAGGAGCGGTGTTCGCAGCCGCTTTGTGCAGGCCGTTGCAGAGCCTGCAGCTTCCCCGTCCAGCCATGAAGCTTGTGCACCTGCCTGCAGGAGCATGGATGCCTTTTTGCGCCTGCGAGACGCCATCGCCTCTGGCCACCTGGGAACCATCGCCCGGCTGGACATGGCGGCTGACCTGGGTGAGCAGCGTCGCTGCCAGCAAGTTGCAGCAGTGCAGCGCTTTCTCGATGCCGCTGCCCAGGGGCATTGTCCTGAATCTGTGCCCCCACACATGCAAGCATCATCCTCTCGCAAATCCGGCCCCCTTGTGACCCGACCCCTCCCCGTGCATCCCTTTACCTCCACTCCACAGCCATGTCTCCATCCAACAAGTACTATGACTCGGCCTGGAGGCGCGACAACACCGGCATGCCAGGTCGGCGGCGTAGCAAGGCCATGCACTGGAGCCGCGCCCAGAGCAGCGAGCCGCTGTGCCAGATTTGCTGGTTGCTGTGCTTGCCAGGAGGCTGCTCTGCTGTCGTCCCTTGATCGGCGCTGGCTTCCTGCTGCGCAGGCGCATACCTGACGGAGGGCGGCGTCCACTTTGTGGCCGCGCTGCGGATGGCGGCCAAGGCTGCTGGCTATGGGGAGGCCGTGGCCGCTGCGGCGGGCTCCCGAGGCATCGCCGCCGACCTGCCCCACCCTGACACCCTGCTGGGCACGCTGCTGTTTGAGTCTGGTGCGCCAGGGACCCGTGGCTTGCCGGCAGTCTGCCCCTTCGGCAGTACCTGCCTGTCTGACCCACCGTGGAGGTGTCTGCAACGTGTGCAGGCGCCGCCGCTGGCTACTCGGTGACCCTGGCTGCTGGCAGGATGAGCATCTCGCTCCAGGCGGTCGGCACGGCAGGGGCAGGCGAGGTGGTGCGCGGCGGCTGGGGCGCCCAGGGCCGCGCCTTCCGCCTGTTGCAGCAGGCACAGGGCGACGCAGCTCCCACTGAGGTGAGCTGCAAGGAAGCAGTTCCCCGACCAGCTGCAGCCGGCCCGGCACGCGTCATGCCAGCACCTCGCGAGCCTGCCTGGGTGCCCGCTCACCTCCCCGCCCGCCTGCCTGCCCGCAGATGGAGAGTGGTGGCACTGGCCTCGAGGCTGAGCTGCTCAGCTTTGCCCGTCTGGCACGCGCCGCCGCTCCCGTCCCAGGCGGGGCGAACCTCACGCTGACAGCACGCGAGGCTGGCGCCGCTGTGGCCACAGATGGTTCGGACCCAGAGCCAGATGCAGTGACAGCTGGAGGCAGCAGGGCAGGAGCAGGGGGCGCGGAGGTGGCCGCGGCCCGCGACGTGCCGGTGGCTGTGGAGGAGCCAGCAGGGATGGCATCGCCTCTGGCCGACATGCCGTCAGAGGAAGATGCATATCGTATCCGGTGCACTCCCTGGCCAAGAGCACATCCTCTCGTTTCCGCCCTGCTGACATCTTGGCATGCCCTGGCATGTCGCGTCCTCCACCTGTATATGGGACCTGCATCGCATGCCTCACACCGCCTGCCCCCCTCGCTGCCTGGCCCATGCAGCTGCGTGGAGGCGGTGCGGGATCTGGCAGTTGTGACCGCGATGCTGGAGTCGGCGGCAGCGGGCGGCCAGAGGGTGCCTGTTGCACAGGTGTAGCGAGGCGATGCACCATGCACAGAGCATGCTGCGCACGGACTGCGCGCTGCGACTGCCGTGCATTATGTAGCATTGTGGAGCACCATTGAACAACTGTACAATATGACAGTCTCCTCGAAAAAGTCGCTCGTAGCTACTCTAGATGGGCCGCCAGGCCGAATTCACTGAGATCAAAATTGCAGCAGCTGTGCCCCATCATGGGCTGTAGGCTTCTGACAGGGCACACTGTTCGCCGCCAAAGAATGGCGTGCTCAGCACCTGCAGGACAGGGCGACATGCTTTAGTTCTGGCGCATCCCTCATGCCCAAGAGCAGCAGTCAGGTGCGCCAGCTACAGACTGCCCTCTGCCATCCGCGCATGCGCTTCCCCGATATTGCTGTCTAATTCACAAAATGGTTCGAAATACCAAATCATGCACACACATTTACATGCACACAACAAACCAAGCAGCATCGCCCAGACGGACATGGAAGGTTCATGGGGTCCTGGGGCCGCTCACTTCTGCTTCTCACTCTCATCCAGCTCCGCCGCCCCCGCGGGCGCCAGCCCGCCATCCAGGAAGGGAGCCTTCCCCGGCGAGCACAGGCCCCTGCACCAGGACGCCCCGGCACCACGCATCTCGCGCTCCGTCGGGTGTGCCGGCGCTACCAGCCCACGGCTCCCACACGAAAGCAGGCTGTTGCAGCCACAGGTCGCTCACTTGGCGCGCATGGCGGCGATGCGGGCAATTGTCTTCTCCTTGGCCCGAGTCTTGCCCACAATGCTGGCCTATTCGATGCAGCAGCGGCGCAGCACGCCATGTTCACAGGCGGCCGCTGGGGTCGCCTGGGGCGCACCACAGTGACATGCTGCATGCTCAGCAGCAGGTCGCAGCTGGCGCCCGCCACGAAACCGGCGGCCGCCG